TCTGTCTCCCTCTCATTCTCCCTCTCGTCGCTCCCCGTCTCCTGGCCCTTGGTGCTGGTGAGAGGCGTGTCGGAGGCTCCGGCCCCGGCTCAGAACGGGTATTGCGACACGTATATCCGCAGTCGGATCACGGAACTGCCTCTGAAGTTGATGACGGTGTTGACAGTGATCATCTCCAAGTCCAGCTGTATGTCCCGGGGCCCTTTGATGGGGCGTGTCATCACCAGGGTGGCACTGATGGGGCCTGTTTGCTGCGAACAGAACCGGGGGCATTTGTTAGAGAAGGCCTGGCCTGCCTGAGGGGGCAGGGGCAGCTGGTCCCCAGGAACAGCAGAGAAGGCGAGGAAAGCAGAGCTGTCCCTCGGGACGCGTGGCCTCCCACACGATCCCCACAGAAGGCCGGGTGGTCTGGCCACAGCCCACTCCTGCAGCCCCAATCAGGGTGCTCCCCCTGGCCCACTTCTGTCACACTGGAATCCCCACGCTCCATCTGGCTCTTCCCTGCTAACTCTTTCGGTCTCATCTAGAAATATTGCTTCCTCTGAGGAGCCTTCCCTGCTTTCCTCGATCAAAGTCACCCCTCCTACCCACCCTCTGGACCCTCTGCCATTGCACCTGCTACTCTGCCTAGAATGGGAAGTATTCATGACCATGTGTCATCATCCACACTATTTACTTGGACCACCTCCGATGTCCAGGTCCCCACTAGACCAGGAGCTCTGTAGAGATCAGATCTACAGGGTTAAGTTTGTCACCACTGAGTCCCCTAACCACCACTGTGGTGCCTGGCACACAGTAGGTGTTCAGTAAATATGTCTTGGATGAAAGAACAAAGGATTGATGAAACAGAGTGGCCTAACGCTGTCACTTCACCTCTTGGGGCCCAGCTCCTAATGGCCCCCAAAGCACCTCAGACTCTCAGACCTTCTGCCTCCGTGGATTGTCCATGTTGCCTGGGGCACCTGTCATTTGTTCATGAGCCTCCAGTTGGCTTCCATGCGCAGCCCTGCTGTGGCTCCTGTCTAGAGACCATAGTCACCTCCACCTTTACCATTCTGAGACTATCCCTGCGGTCCTCATAATGTCACTGAACTTTTCTCCTCCAGCGGCCCGACATCAGTCGAGCACCCACCACCACGTGTGAGGGTCTCCTCTGGCCACTTGGATGTACATGTGCTTATGTCATCCTCATGGAAACCCCGAAAGGCCTCGCTACTCAGAGTGTGGTCCCTGGACCGGCAGTATCAGCATCCTCTGGGTTAGAGATGCAGGACCTCAGGCCCCACCTGTGACCTCCTGCGCCAGAATCTGTAGCTTCACACAATCCCCAGGTGACTCGTGGGCACACTAACTGGGAAGTGCCCATCTGAAAGCACAGACCCTGGCTAGAGTATTAAAGGTGTCTCATTATTTCCCCATTTTATAAATAAGCAAACTGTGGCCCAGGGAGGTTAAGGAATTGCTCAGGGTCACCCAACTAGTCGGGGGCCGAGCTGAGGGGTTTCATTCAGGCTTCTGACGGCAATCTCCAGGCCTGTTTCTCTGCACAATCACCACAAGAGCCTGGTGGGTACCACTTTTCCTCTCCAGCACGGCCCTTCAGGAGAGATGCTCAGGAGTCAGTGAATGGCCACACAGTGGGCCCCTGGAGAGGACACGAGGATATGCTGGACAATCGCTTCCTACCATCTGCAGAGCCCAGCAACTGAAAGCAACAGTCTCTGCAGAATCAAGAAGCTTGGCCACACCAGGTGTTTTATCGATCTCCTGTAAAGTTCTGGGCATCCCCAAGCGCTCCACAGGCACGTCAAGGGTGTGCTGGCAGACAGGTGCCAGCCAGGTACTGGGACCTCCACTGTCCGCTGGTGCAATTTCCTCTTGGCATCCGCTCCCTCTGTTCGCGTCAGCATCAGGGCAAACTGGCACCTGCTCACGCAGAGGCTCACTCCGACTTCCTTGTCAGCTCTTGCAAAACCTGGGAGCCCTGGGCCAGGACTTCAGCGGGCACAGCCACACAGGGAAATGCAGCGTTTACATACACAAATATCTCACCAGTTTTTATTGTTTGCATGAGCAAAGGCCAAGGGTTGAGAACCCTGAGCTGTGGGTAGCCCTCTGGAGGGAGAGCTGCAAAGCCCGGGACGGGGAATGGAACAACTGGACACTTCCAAGTTGTTCCGTGGGGCTTTCCCGGTCAAAGCCTCCAATTTGGAAATAGCTATAGAGATCAGCAAGTTCAATCTCCACCCGGCTCCGACTGGCAGCAGCCGGAGAAAGGCCAGCCCCCAGCACAAGGGAGGACTCAAGTGCCTGTCAGGAGAGCTGAGGACAGCCACTTGCACCTCCTCTAGGCTTTTAGGGCAGAGTCGGGGCACTAATGAAGCAGCCCCTGAAAGCCTCCGGTCATCGGTGGACTTGGTGGTCATTGGAAAATGATGGTGGTGATGGTGGTGGTGGTGATAATGATGATGGTGATGGTAGTGGTGATGATGATGATGATGATGGTAAAGGTGGTGGTGGGTGGAGGTGGTAGTGGGTAGAGGTAGAGATGGTGGTGGGTAGAGGTGGGGATAGTGGTTGATACTATGCAGTTGGCTACGACCTTTCATACATCTCTTACTTGATCCTCCTAACACTGCAGTGTAAGTAGGTTAAGTACACTAATTAAGGTTACAAAACTTGCACATGGTACTAGAGTGCCTGACTCACAAAGTCATGCTCTGACCACTCTGCTCAATGATGAGGTCTCGGGACCTCTCCATTTCCTGCCGCCTCACAGCACTCACACTACTTGAGAATCACCACTTTGCCTTGTAAATGTTTGCCTGGTTGTTTCCCTCCCCCCTGCCCCTCTCCTCAGTGTGGGCTCCTCAAGGGCAGAGGCTATACCCTGTTTGCTCCAGAACTCTCCGGCCTGACGCAAAGCCACCTACATGGTGGTGCTGAATTAATGCTGGTGGCGGTAGAAGGAATGAGTTACAGAATGGAGTTGGCCCTGGACCAACTGAATGAGAGGCTGAGAGGTTGAGGGCTCCGCTTCAACCAGCCCGGACTTCTGCTGTGAGAGAAGGAGACCATTCCACAGTGACGGAGAGCACCTGGGAATCCCCCAGGAGAGCCGGGCTCGACGGCAGGGTGAGAAGAGAGCCATGGAACGTTCCACCCTTGCCCATCCCAGTTGCCTGATAAAAACCGTCATTCCGTGTCCCAGGCACCGCGCTACGTGCATGATCTCATCTGATCCCAGAGTAAACACTGCCATCGTCCGTCTTCCCAGATGAGGAAGCGGAGGCCCAGCAGGTTAGGTAACAGGCCCGAGGTCATGCGGTTGGCAAAGCGCAGGTCGCCAATGAGGCGCTCGGCCTGGCTCCAGAGCCCACACTGGAGTGACTACGCTGTCACTTTCTGGTTTGTCTGTATACTCTCATTTTTCTGCCATAAATATGTAAAAACAAAGTCATATAAAAAAAGAAAAAGAAATTTTTAAAGAGAACAACAGCGTGTGGCCTCCTGAGGAGGGTGCTGCATGCTGGGCAGCTGGGACACGTGGAAGCCGCCTTGTCCGTGTTCCTCCTCCCATGCCCGCGGCCTCGGCACAGGCTCCCCACATGGAGCCTGTACTCAGCCCTCGGAACCTTCCCTCCCCGTCCCTCAGCTCCTTCGGCCATTCTCAGAGCAGGCCTGTGTCCCCCTCATCCCCTCAGCATCCTCTGAGTAAATACTAAAGAACGAGGGCCCTTCTCAAAGTCCTCCGAGAGGGCACACGCTCCGTGCAGCTCAGCGTTGTGAGCTTCAAGGGGCCCCTAGTTACTGCGACAACCCAGGCAGCAGAGGGAGCCTCCAGGAAGGAGCCCTCACACCTGCCCACTCCACCTGCAGGATAATCCCCTTCCCACCATCAGCCACCGGGGAACATTTGGGTCTGGGGGGATTTCAGTGGGTGGCATCCTGGGGAGCCCAGTCTTGCCTAGACAAGACCACCTTCTGCAGGTCTGCCATTCTGTTGGGAGAGAAAATACGGAGGCAGGTGGTGTCAGTGAAGGTATTTTAACTCCCCAAGAGAAGCATCGGTGTACCCTCTGATTGGGGCCCTGGTGATGCGAGAGGCCAGGCTGGTGATGGCCAGTGGGCGAGGCTTCCCCCAGAAGCTCCCAGCTGTGGGTTTCTGGTGGACAGCTGTTGCTTAAGGGTTGGAGGAAAGGGCAGACATAAACACAGCTCCGTCTTCTTCATCTGGCAGAAGTGCCTCTCCCCTCCCCTCCTTCCATCTCTTCCCAAAGCCCTTGACCTTGCTACACGGGCCTACAGATGTTGGCTTCACAGGCCCTGTTATCACATGTGACCTGGCCCTGTGTGGGTCTTGCCAAAAACACGTGAGTGAGGACTCAGGCATGACGCCAGCACCTGGGACCTTTCCTAACCTGTTCTAGCCTCTGTTTCTGAGATCTCCCTGTTTTCATAGTCGCATCCCCAGAGGCAGGGATTGGAAGAGTCTGCCAGGAGGTGGGGAGAGGAGAGGGAGAGAGCTCAGACACGTGGCCCTCTTGCAGGCCTGGGCCCTCCGCCCTAGAATGGATAAGCTCTCATGGCCTATCTTTCTGCGTATCGCTGCCCACAGTGACTCTGGAGGACCACCTGCTGCATCTGTTAGAAATGCAGATTCCTGGGGAATGCTCCCCCCCTCCCCAAGATATCTGGTCCTAAGCCCCGGTACCTGTCAATGTTACTGTATAAGGACAAGGAAACTGCGGGTGTGATGAAGTTAAGGACCTGGCCACAGAGCGATTATCCTGGATTCGCTGGGTAGCCCGAAACCCAGACACTGGTGTCACTGTGAGAGACGGGAGGCGATGGTTGCACAGAGAGGAGGCGGCCCCGTGCCCCCGGAGGCAGAGGCTGGAGCAATGTGGCCACGAGTTAAGCGATGGCAGCAGCCGCAGAAGCCGGAGGAGGGACAGGAGGCATTCTCGCCCGGAGCCTCCAGAGGGAACACGGCTCGGCCAACACACGATGTCAGCTCAGTGGAAGTGGTTTCGGACTTTTGGCTCCAGAACTGCGTGCGAATAAATTTCTGTTTTCTTAGGCCACCAAGTTTTTGGCAATTTCTTACAGCAGCCATAGGAAACTGGCATTCCAGGCCTCGGCCGCCATATTTTGAATTATTTTGGATAATTCAGGTAATTCCAGATTTTCTGGAACCCATTTTTGGGCCAGTGCCCACATTCTCACAGAAATGAGAAAAACATCTAAGCCCGTGGGCGCTAAGAGGTGCCACCACCCGAGGTGGCAGGAGGTAGAACTGCTCTCTCTCTCTGAGCTAATACGGCAGCCCCGTGTGGCTACCGGGCACTTGAAATATGGCTGGTGCCACGGAAGAGCCTGATTTATCATTTTTTTTCATCTTAATTGGTTTAAATTTAGAGAGACGGTGGCTACTGTGTCGGACACGCAGGCAGAGCCCGCCTCCGCCAGGTGCGCCTTTCTAGTCACTGCAGCGTAGGTACCACGCCGGCGGGGGTTTGGGGATGTTGTACAAACCTCCATATTCCCAGTTTCTAGTTGTGCATAGTTGGCACTTGACAAGCGTTTGTCAAATGAGTGGATGGATAAGAGGGTATGTAAATGCCTCTCCCGTGGGATTGTCGGAGGAAAGAGGCGGAAAGTTGCATCTTGGCCTCGTTTCTCGTGGCACAGATGGGGATCCAGAGGCCCACGGGGGACAAGTGGCTCTCACAAGGCCGTACAGAATGCTATAGGGACAGCACCTTGGTGGCCTAACTCCCCTCCCCTCTTCTCTGCCCTCTCTACCCCAGCCCCTCCTAGCTGCACGCTGACCTGTTTCTAGAAACACATGCCAGGCTAGACGACACGATGCGTGGTTGAAGACAGGGACCATCTGCCCGCTGGTGTGGCTCGGTGGTTGAGCATCGATCCATGAACCAGGAGGTCACGGTTTGGTTCCCGCTCGGGGCACATGCCCGGGTTGTGGGCTCGATCCCCAGTGTGGCATGTGCAAGAGGCAGCTGATCCATGATTCTCTCTCCACACTGGTGTTTCTCTCCCTCTCCCTTCCTCTCTGATATCAATAAAAATATATTTATTAAAAAAAAAAGATGGTGACCATCGCTCGCCACCCCTCTTACCCGCATATAGAATTCTCGGCCCTCATTCCCAGACTTGATCTGGAAGATGTAGTAAGCGCCGGGGTAGCGGGTGGTGGCTTGCATCTGGAAGATGTCAACA